GCGCGCAGAGAGTTCACAGAACGACAAAACAGGCAAAAACTACGAGAAACCGCACGGGAGGGAGATCCCGCCAAAAAAGAAGACGCCAAAACCCGGAACACAAAAGCGGCAACTTCAACAGGAGAAAAAGCGAAGCCGAAAAACGGCAGGAATTTGAGAAAACAGGCTCTGCAGAAAGTCCGCGGGTGTGGGCGCATTTCGGCAGACGGAGAAGAAAAAAATCGCGCGCGCAGAGAGTTCACAGAACGACAAAACAAGCAAAAACCACGAGAAGCCGCACGGGAGGGAGATCCCACCAAGAAAGAAGACGCCAAAACCCGGAACACAAAAGCGGCACGGCCAACACGGGAAAAAGCGAAGCCGAAAAACGTCAGGAATTTGACAAAACAGGCTCTGCAGAAAGTCCGCGGGTGTGGCCACATTTCGGCAGAAGGAGAAGAAAAAAACCGCGCGGGAGGGAGATCCCGCCAAGGGAGAAGACACCAAAACCCGGAACACAAAAGCGGCAACGCCAAAACCAACGGGAAATAGCGAAGGCGGAAAACGGCAGGAATTTGGGAAAACAGGCTCTGCAGAGAGTCCGCGGGTGCGGGCGCATTTCGGCAGACGGAGAAGAAAAAAATCGCGCGCGCAGAGAGTTCACAGAACGACAAAACAAGCAAAAACCACGAGAAACCGCACGGGAGGGGGATCCCGTTAAGAAAGAAGACGCCAAAACCCGGAACACAAAAGCGGCAACTTCTACACGGGAAAAAACGAAGGCGGGAAACGGCAGGAATTTGAGAAAACAGGCCCAGCAGAAAGTCCGCGGGTGTGGCCGCATTTCGCCAGACGGAGAAGAAAAAAACTGCGCGCGCAGAATGAAAGTTCGCAGGGCGGCGAAACAAGCAGGACCCCGAGAAAAGAAACACACGGGAGGGGGGTCCGTCGGTCCCTCCCCAGCAAGAAAACACACCCCGCAGAACGGCGGCCCGCGAAGGAATGCGGCAGCATTGCGGCGGGCGGGGGGGAAAAAAATCGCAAGCGCAGAGAATTCACAATCAAAACGGCGAATCAAGCAAGGAAAACCACAAGAAGGCACACGGGGGGGGGGCTCCACCAAGAAAGAACGAAGGCGCCAAAACCTGCGGCGCGGGGTCGACGACTTCAAACGGGAGAGGGACGACAGAAATTTGGCAAAGCGCACAAAAAAAGAACGAAGGCCCCCGGGTGCGGCCGCGTTTCATTCTCTCGGCAGAGAGACGGAGAAGAGAAAGGGCCTGACGCGCAGAAGGTTCGCGGAACTGCCTGCGAAACAAAAAGAGGCCCGGGAAAACACACGGGGGAGAGATCCCACCAAGAAAGGGGGCGCCACAAGAAACCTGGAACGCGCTGGCGACAGCTGAAGCACGGGAAAACGGGCCGGGCAGCAGCAAAACCCGCGGCCGGGTCGGTAGGGCGCGCCCATGCTTGGGGGCGCGCAGGCTGGGCGCCGGGGCTTGGTTCGTTGCTTGGCGAAAGCGGCGCAGGGAAAACAGCGAAGGGCGCGCGGAAAAGCGAGCCCAGCTTCCCGGGGCCCGCCAAGGCAGTTGCTTCGCTGCGGGGCTTGGCCAGGGTGCGGGGGTTTGGAATGAGAGAGGCAGAGGCGCCCCCGGCGCGGCGGGCTACAAACCTGCAGGGCAACCCAAAGCCCGAGGGCGCCGGGCCCTTCCCGCTTTCCTGCTGGCCGGCTCCCCCACTCTTGATCGGCCGTCGGCATGCGTTTTGCGCGCCCGTTGCGATGGGGCGCAGCCGAGGCAGGGGCGGGGCGCGTAGCTCCGCCCAATAGGCTTCCAGCTAGGGCGCGACGGGGTCTCGCGGTGAGCATAATAGCTTTGCGCGCGTCTTTTTTCAAATTTCGCCACCTGGCCCCCGAGCGCCGCTGGCCAGTGGAAAAAGGCGGCAGTGCACGCAGGGCGCCACGCGTGCGCTCTGCAACAGAAGCGAAAAAAACAATCCAGCCGCCCCGGCGTCATCAATGCGCAAACTTTGCCGAATATTGCGACGGGCTGCTAGCTTCGTGGCGCTTGTTCGTGTGTGAATGGGCGGGCGCCTGGGCACTGGTTTGCATGGATGCCCAGGATGGCCTAGCTCTGGCGCGCAAGTGGGGTCCCAGCAATAGTAGGCGAATGCGGGCGCCCGGGCGTGCTACACTTCTTTAACCGAAGCCATGGAGGGCGAAGACGGTGCAACGCAATTGCCCCAGCGCGCAATACCTCCAGCGCGCCGGGGCATCCATGCCAGCTGGTCTTTTGTGTTGGGATTTACTTCGCCGACGGCCTTAGGCGCTTCTCCCGCCTCGTCGTGGGTGCTATCATATCTGCGACAACACGCGGCGCGCAGGCTTTCGGCCTTAGCTAGGCCCTTTTACATATTGCAGGCGTCTGTCTAGAAGAAACCTAGGGCAATATCATTAGCCACCCTTCTGTAGCGCTCGCACTTCGTTCGAGTAGCATTCCCGGGAACAAAATAAGAGCCAGCCGCCTCGGCTCTTGCGTCTTTGCTCTAGCTGTGGTCACTGGCGATGAAGTGCGCGCGCAAGTGTGCGCGTTTTTGGTGATGATTCAAATCGTCTCGGCGTTCAGCCTTACATTGTCATTACATCGCCTTCTGTTCTTTTTCTCCCCTGTAAGTAATCTCGTTAGCTGTTGGATTGGGGTTTGCTCACTCTCAAAAGACGCCGCGGAAGAAGTGCTTTCGTTTCTGTGCGCATCTTCGATATTCGCAAATCAGGAGACATCCGCGTCCACCCTGGCGATCGGCGTGTCAGGCGAGTTGTTATTCCGACCGGGTTTGCCAGAGTGTGTCTATTGCTATGAGTAGTAAAAAAAATCCCAGTTGTCACCACGCCATGTGGTCCAAAGATGCATGAATGTTCTGGGCCGGTTTTTTTCTGCGAGATTTCAGGCTCCGCTGGCGGGCGAAGGCGTGTTTTCAATGCATTTCTGGCAGAACAATCTCCCTGGCAGTAAATTTTCGACCACGGCGTGCTGCGGCAAACATCAGCATCTGGCAAAAAACGCACCGCCGGAACATTTTATACAAAAATCTATAGTCTAATACCTATAGGGCATTTTTGGACATCAGTGGCAATGTGAAAAATGAAGTACCAAGTGGATAGCTTCGCTCTGCTGTGCCTCTGTCAGGTTTGGGTGCAGGAAGCGGGGCAGCGTCCATACAAAACCTATCGGGCACACGGGACTTCCCTCCTTTTTCTCTTCTCTGTGCAGTTGTGGGGGGAAGCTTTTTTTTTGCATTGATGGCACTGAAAAGTTGAACCGGCATGATATGCAATTCGGTGCTTGAGGTCTTACGCTTGCTCTGGTCGGAACAAAATCCAAATTGAAATGCAAACCAAAAAAAAAAATGCAAGCCGCGAATCGGTTTTGGTAGGATACTTAAGGTCGAAGAAGCTTGGATCGCCTGCCCGATCGGCGGATTCACTTTGTCTAGTATGCGCTGTTTGGTTCTATGCACAGCTAACTTATCATCTAGGTGTCTGGTCAGATGACGTCGACCTTGACATCTGTAAATCCAAATAGAACTTCTACAGCGTCAAAATAAACGACTTCGGGTGGCGCGGGGAGGCCGGGTGTATCAAGTCAGAAACCTGTAATGGATACGGACTCGACGAAAACCATCTTACTGAACGTCTACGCTTTTTGACACCTAAGCTATAATATCAAATGCAAACGTGTTTGGGTCTGGAAGAATGCAAGATTTGTCATGCATATTTCTCATGACCCATGATTGTCTGTGATGTATGCTCTACTAGCATCACAGATTTTTGGAACCCTTCCTGTTGGTCCCTCCGCATGAGAAATGCACTGTCCGTGTAGCAAAAACTGCAATACAAACTTTCTTAGAGTCCAAGAACAGCGTGACAAGTTGCAATCTTCTAGACCCAGACACTTTTGCAGTTGATATATAAGCTTGCTGCAGCATAGCTTGTTTTTATTTCGTTCGCCACGTGCTGTTTGACTGCTGCCGGTGCTGCGTCGGGTCCCGGGTAATCGTCTTTCGCGTCGTCAAGGTCGTGCCGACTGTTACCATCGTCCAGTGCATATCCTGGAGAGACTTGCCTGGTCCAATAAAAGAAGTTCATGGCTTGTCACGACCTCTTGGTGTTCTCGTTGTGGTGACCTTGTGTATTACTAAGTCCGTTCCTTTATGCAGCAAATAGCACTCCTTCCTTTATGCAAATGCAATTTCTCCATGCGAACACGACTTGTTGGAGGCGCGCGGAAATCTGTGGGCCCGAAGACCGGCGGCACAAAAACACAAGCACTGCAATTTCGCTGATGCAAGCAAGTTTACAGGCAATATGACCCAGATGACGTCCAGTCCATCGTCCAGCAAGGAAAAAGTGGTCTCCCGGGTGGTAGATACAGAGGAAAAACACCGTGAGCGCATGACTAAAATATGGCACTGCAGGCCGTTCTGCAATTCTGCATTACAGATTTGATGCGTGACGGAATCTTCTTGCGCATGAAAGTTTCAAGCTGCCACAGCTTTTATTGGAGTAGCAGTGCTAAATCAATAAACGTGGCGCACATACGTGCTCATACGTTCTGGATCAGTTCCTGGCTACAAAGCAGATCAAGCCACAGCTTTCCGTTGCCCCATTGGGATTGCACCTGCCGGTTGGTTCTTCGATCGGCGCGTCCCTTGTTGGCAGAGCGAGGTCCCAGGGCGTGGCGGTCCAGCAGTTCCTCGAGGCGATGACGAGCAAGAAGAGGACCAAAACTACGCTCGGTACGCAGAGTCCTATGTTTCGGCAAGACGCGCCAGGGGCTCTACCACCCGCGGTCGGGGGCGCCTGCGGTCCTTGCGTCGGGGAGTTCGCGGTGTTTGACATGCTGGCCTCCTCGGGCCGGTCTCGATTGCCCATGCGTTGGTCTGCGTCGGGTGATGCACTCCAAAGGCCGGTCGTCGAGTTGGTGACCTTGTTCGCTACGTTTGCTGCGGTTGCGAGGCCTCTGGTCGCCGCGGTTTCTTTCGTGTCGACGGCTGACCCGGGTGCGAGATCCGATTTGCTGTTCGCGTCGACGACGGTCATCAAGTTCTCGACTTTGTTCTTGCCGATACGGTCGTGTATGGGATTTAAAGTAGTATAATTTCCACGAAGGAGGTCACAGCTGGGTCACAGTCTTGCTTTTTGCAACCAATAATTCACATCATGACATCAAGTGTACTAACAGAAGCTGTCACAGCTGCACTGGCGAAGGAACTTGTGGTCTCCTCGGATGGAAACATACACGATTCGTCGATGCCATAGTCCGCGCCATCTGCTCGGTGGTGACGAAGGCCGCGGTCTTTGCGCTGATCGTCTGCTCCATTTGTTCCGCTGTCACAAATTTCGCCGTCGAGCTGCCGACTTCCGCTGCGACCTGGTCTTTTGACACCAGGTTGCTGGTGCCCTCCGCTATCTTTTTGTCGACGTCAGCGGGGGTCGCAAACTTCGAGTCCAACAGCGCGAACTGCTGCTCCAGATCCGGTTTCGACACAAAATTTCCATTGGTTATTTGCGACGCAAGGTCGTCGATGCGTCCGACGAGGGCCGTCGTTTCCGCAGCGATGTCCTTCTGGAACTTGTCGAACGATTCCTGCTGCGCGCCGACGAACTCCTGCTGCCCCTTCCGCAGTGCCGCGTCGTTGTTTAGGTGTTCTTCCTGCAGGCCGTCGAGTGCCTTTCTGTTTTCATCCCGCAGCGACCGCTCCAAGTGGGTTACGGTATCTTCTAACGATTGGCGCAACTGGTCCACTATCCTGGTCTCGGCCGTGTTTATCTTGCTGTCGTGCCACGCCTGGAAGTCTTCTCGGATGTTCTTGGATATCTCCACCTCCCTGGTGCCGAGTTCCTGCAACAGCTCCTCTTTCACCACGTTGATACGGGCATCGAAGGTTGCCCTGTCCTCGCTGGCTCCGTCCGTTCCGCCACTTGCGGAGCCGGTTGCTCCTGGAACGCCGGCTCCGGCGGTCGCCATTCCCAGGCGCTGCTTGAGTTGGCTGCAGCAAGAGTGGCGGCGTGTCCTACCTACGCCTCTTTGTATGAAATTGCAAAACTCCCCCTCCGACTCCATTGCAAATGTAAAGGCAGAACTCGAATGCTAGTTGGTCTTGCGCGTCAGGCACAACAGCTTGCGTGACAAATTACAGCACCCCAAGCAAAACGCTTGCCCATCTCTCGCGGAACTGCAGTGCTGCAACAGCGTTTGTCTCTCGTATCCTTTTCGCCATGCTTGTTGAAGGACCTGGATGGGCTGTTTTGCATTCTCATGCCCTTTCGTCAGATGCGGTCAGGCGGACAGAGGGCGCCGGGCTTTTTCGTTAAAATCATGCTGAAAATCTGCTAAAAATTTTTTTGCCCTACCAAGACACGCGCCAGATGCGCGAACGCCAACAAAATGGGGCAGCGGCCCCTTCTGGCCCCGGCCCGAGGGAAAGCGGGGCAACCGGGGCCGAAGGCCGTCCTCTTCCCCTCCTAAAAACCCGCCCAAGCCCGACTGTGCGCCACCCGCCAAGCGGACACGGCAAACACGCCAGGAACCAGACTGGGGGCCAACCGGACCGAGAAGGATACAAAAAGACAACGCGGGGCGAGCTTTCGCGCAATTCGCCGGAACCCCAAATGGCCAAAGGCGCAGAACCAACCCACCGCGGCCTGCGGCGGACCTTGCGAAACACCCACACCCGCGTGGGGCCCGAAGCACTGAATCGCCCCCCCTTTCCCAAGGGATGGGGGGGGCGGCGGAATTGCTAAACTTCTGCTAATTCTCTGCTAATTCAGTGCTAATTCCAGTGGTACTACACCGGAAATCGGAGCCCCGACGCGAAGTCTTCGTCTGCTAAAATGTCTGCTAAAGTGGTTGCTAAAATCATTGCTAATTTTCTGCTAAAATGCAAAACCCAACAAAACGCTCCCATTTTGAAGGGTCAGGCATTTTAGCAGCAGAATTAGCAATGCGTTTAGCAGCCCAAGTAGCGATTTTAGCAGTACCCAAAAATGGCAACTCCGGAGCCAACTCCGGTAGGTTTTCCGACCCCTGTCGGAGGTCCGGATGCCCCCTCCCGAAACCAGAAAAGAGCCCAGCCGAAAATAAGCAAGATCGCCTTCCGGCGCGAAATCTTCAACAACCGAAGTCGGCCGATGGAGATTTCTTTCCGGAGCTGCGCATCTTGCAGGTTTTCCAAGGTCCTGCGAGATTGCCTGGGGCGGAGGGCGAAGGCGTGGCGAAGAGGCGCGGCGCCCCAACGAAGGCTTCCACGCCTTCGCCGCGGTTCCCCCCAAGCCCGCCGCCAGAAATTACAGGAAGGAAAACCGGCGGCACCCGCCGAAGCAAAAAAGACAGGGCCAAGGGGGCAGGCCCTGGGAGTTCTATGCGCCGGCCGGCATCTTTCAAGAGCCTGCGGGGGGCGCAAAGAAAAAGCACGCGGGCCGGCTTGGGAACCAGCAGAACGACGCCGGGGGGTCGGTCTTTTTCTTTTAGCAGTTTTTTAGCCTTTTTTAAGCGGGAAAATCCGGCGGCATGTGTCCGCCTGAATGCGGTGTCACGAACTGCGCATGTATGTCTGTGCGTGTCTAGGAAGTAGATGCAGAAAAGAAGTATCGCGATACTACATGGAAACGCACTCGACTCTCTGTCCTTGTGATAAAGAGCAAGAAGACGTCGCCAAAGCCAAAAAAAAACCCGATGGACTGACTTTGTGAGACGGACAAGACACAACGCAAAAACCAATCCGACAAGAACTTTGCACGGACAGTCAGCTAAAATCCGTTCAATCGGAACACTTGGCAAATGAAAAGCTTCTGCTTTGTGGAAGCGCAGAACGGGGCAGCTCGCTTCTTGTTATTTTTCACAAACATTGCTTGTTGTACATAAACATACCTGATTCAGATTATTCGTTCGTATTCCCGAGTGGGCTGATGTCCTCTGTATGTTACAGGAGTTGTATTCGACTTCGTACTAAATCCAGAAACCACGCAGGGCTTTCTGCTAGTTTTCCCAACCGCTAACGTTGTGTTTACATACAGACTTGCATTTTTAGCCCAAGTTCGTAGGGGTATGAGCTCGCGCTCCTTTTAGTTCGATTTCAGAAGACGAATGAGTTACATTGAAGCCTTTGCATATTCTAATTACTCCAAACATTCTTACTTAGTTTTGAGAAAGTGCGTGTCTGTTCCTGCCTAGTCCTCTCTCTCTCTCTCTCAAGCATCACAACCGGCGCAGCCGAACTGTGCACGAAGTAAGTAGTTGCTTGTTTTGTCCCAGCGGACTTTTGTGATATTGGGGCCGAATGAATGCCACGCCAGTTTATGGAATTATTCCGGCAGCTTTTGAAATAAAACAAGAATCGTAACAAAATTCCACAAAAACTGTTCGCTTCATATTGATTACCTGCGGGTGACGTTGATTTGAGAAAAAACGCCATCTTCGGGGCTTTCTTACATTTATTTTTCCATAAACGCAAAAGCGCTCTTCGACGAAATTTTCCCTACTAGAGGAACGTAAGTGAAGGTCGAAAGCGTGGTGGCGTTTTTTCTGGATACAGGTTTCCTAATCAACAAAAACTTTGTATCTGTGCCCATTATCTGGACGAGGGAATCGTGATGGTAACTTTCTGTGCAGGTTTCCTAATCAACAAAAACTTTGCATCTGTTCCCATTATGATTATCTGGACGAGGGAATCGTGATGATAACTTTCTGTGTAGGTTTCCTAATCAACAAAAACTTTGTATCTGTCCCCATTATCTGGACGAGGAAATCGTGATGATAACTTTCTGTGCAAAGAAGAGCCTTCATTTAATTTCATTTCACGGCAATCGTATTTTCTAGGAATCTGCGTTTTGAAGATGAGTAATAGCAATGGCACAGCTGTTCATTTTGTTATAAAACTATTTAAATAATCTCAAACAGAAGCTCTTTATCCGCAAATCACGAATGCGTGTTTCTCTAGTTTTGTATTTTGAAACCATAATCTCAAGCTGCAACTTTGCTTCGACTCTGATAAAACTGAGACATTCTTTTCGGAAGTCCCCACGTATATGAGACGAAGAAGTCGCTCACTTAGCCGACTCCCCGGCATCCTCAAACTTCCTCCCATCCACCTTGCCGTGGTGCCTCTCGGCCTCACCACTGGCAATATCCGACGCAAAAATAATGCCATGGTCATACATCCTTATATATTATTTGTACACTCCCGCTTATTCTACGACATGATCCATGCGAGATCCTCTTCATGGCTACAAGAATCGGTCGTTTTTTTTTCACAAAGCAACGGGACTTTCACTGACTCGTTCCCAGCCACTCACGATACGAAGTCAGCCGTGCGAGGTGGAAAAGAGCATCTTCGTTACTCAGCAGAAACCAATTTCTGTGTTCGCGTAGACATGACTTATTGTTGCAGATCATGCCGTAGACCACAACAGTGCTCTGGTATGACCATAAAAAATTTTGTGCAACATAAGCAGTCTTTACAGCCCTTTCGCAGCTACGCTGCAGCTGAAAAACCGCGAAATTATCCGCGTATCATAGTCAAACTCCTTCCAGTCCTGGACACATACAAGATCTTGTGTGCTATATATTTGTAGCATGCGCGAAGTTGAGATAATCGTCAAAGGCCTGCGAAAATATGCTAATCACAATGTCCAAATGACATCGTACACCTTCTGCCTGGGACGGAGAAGTCTTTTGGCTATGATACCGGGTTGGTTGATGCGATCAGAGCGTACTTCGCTGATTTCCAGCGCTTGTCGATCTCGCTTTTTACCGGTACCGATCCGCTGCTTGCATCCAATCCCCACAGCAGATCGCATCCTGTCAAAAAACGTACCCACCCAGTACTCGACATGGGAACTCTGCAACGCAATACAAACTGTTGAGCAGCCGTGGGAGTTGTGCATAGCACTTTTGGGTCCGCAGTGTAGTGAAGTTTGGCTTCAATGGTCACATTGGTCGTTTCTCAGAATCCGCTTTCTTATCCTGATTCGCGCATGACAACATCCTTAACAGCACTAATGACATGCACACCTGGGCCTTCTCATCTTCACTTCTGCACATGCCAGATTTACAGAACAACTCTAGATGGGTGGGGACGTTTTTGTGCAGGATAGGTTCGTCAGATGCGTCACTGTATCAACTGCAAAAGTGTCTGGGTCTGGAAGATTCTGAAACCAGACTTGTCATGCAAGTTTTGCATAAGCAGTGACGTCTCTGATGCATGCCCTAGCACAAGAGATTTTTTGAGGGCTTCTGGATGCGTATTTCGCATGACAAATGCCCTCTTCCCCTAGGAAAAAATACACTCGCTTTGCTGCTCATGCATTACAGATTTTTTCGGAATCCAAATGCAGCATCACAAGTTCCATCCTTCCAGACGCAGACACTTTTGCATTTGATACACTGCGGTGTGGAGGGCAGCTGCGTGCGGGAGAAGGCGGGTCCTGGAGAAAAATGCGACCTGTACGAGCATTGGCATCTTTTGTTTTCCTGGTTTCCCGGCCCCCAGGAAAAAAAATACCCTCACACTGGTAAATTTGCACCTGCGCGAACAAATCCGGCATGCCCATAAACATAGTTGTCGCTGTCATGATACCAAGTCCGATTATTACCGATCGGAGTGATAGCTGTGTTCGTGTCGTGCTCAGTGCAGGTAGAACAAGTTTTCGTTTCTGAGACCAAAAAATCACAGATGTCAAAGCTGGTAGAGGTCCACGTTAGCACACGATAAATGGAAACTGCCGCTTTAACTGCTCCCGCTGCTGCTCCACGACGATCAGCTCTGTGGCCAACTGGGTTCTGGCCGCAGCTTATCAAAATGAAATCGCCCCCTCTGCATCGTGAAATTTGAAGTGAATGTGTAATCACAGGCGAGTTCGCAATTGTCATGCGTACTTAGGAGGCCCTTCCTCGCGAAGGCTCCTGAAGTAAGCACTTCAAGTTGCTGCCCATTCCGCTGAAGTTTTATCGTCGTCATGCATGGAAGATTTCCTTCAGCGCATGCAGAGGGCGACATTTCATTTTGATACAGATTTATCGTGTTCTAAAAATTTTTTCACAACGACACTTTCCTCTATCGTACAGAAAAATGCACTCGTGCTTATCTCGAGATTGCACAGCGAAACTTAAAAACTCGGATGTTTAGCGAAGATGAATCCTACAGCACTATCATAGGCGTAAATAAGAAGTCAGTGAGGAATGTTCTGCTCACGCATTCTCGTTTCATGCAACGTAAAACCCGAAAGCAGATAACTGGTCAATCAATTGAAGTAGATATTAGAGTGCGTTTTTCATTCGATATGGAACTCTTTTAGATCCTCATGCTATGCATTGCAAATATTTCCTGGAGTCTGCAACAGTGGGATGGATGCCTGTTGGCTGGTGTGGTTGTACTTAGTACCCTCTGGCATGTGGTTGGTACGATCATACTTGTGATTGGCTTCTTGTGGTTGGTACGATCATACTTAACGCGACCTGTCATCATAATGTACGTGGATCCCGCAAGACAAAATGACAAAAACCAATATCAGACTTGGCTGTGCAGTGTAGTCTACAAGACTGTTCATCGTCCACGACGATCTCGTATGATCACTTTGTTGCAAACCCAGGGATAATATTTGCAGTGCGTAAACGGAGAGTCTGCACGTCGTTCTCTACGGTCGTCACACGCTCCCCTTGTTTCTTCAGCTCGGATTTTTGTTCCTGCAGCTCGGATTTGGTGTTCCCGTGCTCCGTGTATCAAATTGAAAAACTTCGCCTTCATGCCACTTGCAACATCTTAATGCAAGTCCAGCTTTGGACGCGATAAAAGTAAGTGTTCCCCGCGCATCTAGTCTCTACTTGTTTTCTATGATGCAAAGTCGTTTTGCGACACATCTCACCTAAAAACGATACTCCATACACGCACTGTTCTCATCGAAACCAGGAGGGGTGTATATAAAAAAACCACGAGTTGTTCCTTCTTAGTTGCATCACACAGGCAGCATGATAATTATACAATTTTTCATTTGATAGCCCTTCCAGGGTGCCTACCCGGTTCTCGAGACACACGATCTTGCTTCTCATGTCCTTGAGTAAGGCTTGCATTTCCATCTCCGGAGCCCCAGAAACCTGCAGAAGATGTGGAAATTTTCTCTCCTGAGAGAAGTCGCATGCGAGTGTGGTCATGCCGGATATCACATGCAACGTTGACGCCCAGTTCTACTCATAGATTCTGCATGTGCAACAAATCATCTTGTGAATAGATACCTCTTCGTGTGGAACGGGCATCGACGACGTGGTTGAGCTTCGTCTGCTAGAGGTGAAGGTCGGGGCCGGCCCGATCGCAGTACTGTCCGTTTCTGGTTCCGCCGTTGCAGATTTTGGCCCCTGGTGGAAGGTCGGTGCCGCGAACTGCATCTGCGATCTGGGCGCGTCCAGCAGGTTGTGCAACATTTCTTTCGAGAGCCCACCGTGTCCACTTTTCGTTGTGGTCTGATCATCCGCCGGTGCCCACAAAAGCTCCGTCACATCGGATTTCAGCAACGGTTCCACCTCCCCTTGACGGTCCAAAATCCGCCTTGGATGCTGCGGCTCGGGTAGAAACGTAACCTGGAGTTCGTTTATAATTTTTTTTCATGCCATTTTTTCTGTGCTGCAGCGCGGATCTGAAGCTGGATCCGAAAACCATATTCTGTCGAGGAAAGACTGCGTGCTGCTTGAGAAAATGAAATGCTGTTTTTCAAACCATTATCCCCGAAGGTGACCTCGAGAGAATTCAATAGTACGTGTTCGTTCGCCACCGGTCCCAAACACTCATGCACAGTCGGGGGCAGTTCCAGTTGCAGTTCACCGCTCGGGGCACCAAATTTTGAGCCATCGTTCCGGAAGGCACGCACCTGCAAACCGTTAGGAAGGAGGCTTCGGTGGAAATTCATGCAGGTTGTTTTAACGAAAAAGGAAGATGGAAACTTCAGCAGAGTTGTATTGCACCATGAGCTACAACAAGATAGTAGCTCACCTCGTTGCCCGACGACGTGTGCGCGTGTGGCTGCTCCGTTTGCGTTTTTCTACTAGGCGCAACCAGTTTGCTGTTCGATTTCCTGTTCGAGGGACCACCAGCAGCGGACGGTGGCGGTGTGGCTCCGGCGGTACGACCAGGTACCTATTTCAAAAGTTGTTCGTAAATGAAGCTACTTTCCCGGGACAAATTTCGGAGGTTGCAAATGCATTATGCACGACATTCCGAGCTTCTAGCTACACTGCAAGCAAAATGCTCATCGACACAGAAGAAGCCCTTCGGGAGATCTCTCATGCTCGCAACCAATGCTCCGGAGAAGCCGTACCTGGCCCGGGTGGCTCAACGTTGCAGGCCTCTCCGCAACTGGTTGGACTAATCCTCCATGGCTTCCCCCTCCTTCTGCAAAGACGTGCGAAGAAGACGCCGTGGCAGGTTCCTGGAAGATGTTGAAGAAAATACTATAATTGAGACGTTAGGGTTCCTGCATGTGTACTTCTTTGTGCATGATCTGCGCTACCAGGACTACCTGGAGCGACTGTCTCCTTGAAGCATAATGAAAAAAATACCGGCCCCGTAGCCAAGCCAGGATCCTTTTGCTGCACATGCTTGGCCTTCAGCTGCAAGCACACGTCACTGCGGTTGCTGCTCGCCGTTTTGATACAGATTTTGCCGTCAAAATTTGCTAAATCCCGGACTTATCCAGTGCAAATATCTCGGTGTCTGGAAGGGAGCAAAGTTTGTCATGCATTTCGTGGGCCGCCACAAAGATAGTATGGAATGCAACACAAAGCATTACAGAAGGCACAAGAGCTGCTTAAATGCCTAGTCCCCATGAAAAATTTTTCTTTTGTGTGACAAGAAGCAGCTCACTTTTGTGGCTCATGCAACCCAGAGTTTTGCACGATTCAGATTTAGCATGACAAGTTTGGAGCCTTCCAGACCCAGGCATATTTGCACCTGATAGGATGGCGAAGCGGGACACGTGTGTCACCTTGTAGTTGGATGTGGTCGTGTGATGAAATCAGCGATACATTGCAAATATGTCTGGGTATGGAAGATTGCAAGCAAATAAGACTCTGGTGCTTGTCTGGCACGCCCGTGCGGATTCTTGTCATGCATGTTACGAGGCCTCAGCCTCACGCCAACTCGTTTGCGTTGCAAAGATGCGGCAGAGACACCACCGCGGTCCCCAACAACGTGTCATGCCTGGGTACCTATTGTGGTGCGTTCGGCGTTCTTCATGGGTTAGCATGACAATTTTCAAAGCCCAGACACATTTGTCGTGCATACAAGCAGTACTCGATGACGACTTCCAAGACGTCATGGGCAAGCGATTCGAAGTATTGGGAGGAAAAATCGCCGTTCCCCAGTTTCAAGAGCAAATTTGTGATGCGCAATCCGTGTAGCCAAAAACTTATCGACAGACTTGAATTGCTAGAAGGCCAAGAGACGCACTTGTGGCCTCAATCGCAGGCAATTTGTCATGCTATTCTCAGCAGCCCAGCTCTATCCTGTCATGCTCCTGAGGACAAGAGGCTATCCAGTGCCAGCCAAGACCACAATCCGCACCTCTTCCGTTCTGGCACGACAAGCTGATTTTTGATCACAAATCACCCTACACAAATCTCCTTTTGAATGCGGGGAGGGAAGTTTTGCATTTTGATACGCAGCTCAGGAAACAGCTTAGGTCTGGTCGACCGGGGTCACTTGCCGCTACTCCCGCCGAACCACACGCCCCAGTCCGCTCTGACGCCACCCCGCCGGGGATGATGCGCAGTTTGGCTCGGGAAGCCCTCGTGATCATTGGGCTGGTGGGGTGGACTTTGCTATGCACGGAAAATCTGTGGCTAGTGTCGGGGAAGGAACTGTTGTTTGGATTGCTCTTTCATCGGGAGGAGAGAGAAGGCACGACACAGTTCTTGATCGCATGACAAGGCTCATTTGTTTCGTTCTGCACAGCAAAAGGTATCAGTGTCCGATGCTCTATCAGTACGACACCAAACATCAACCTAGGATGTTTCTTCGCAATGCTCCTGTCTACCGAGTCAACGTCTATTTGTTCCAGAAGCTGATCGTTGTGCTAATGTGTCCACTGGTGTGCAGACCGAAATATGAAGACCAGCAAGACAAACTCCGGCGTTTCCCTGACACAGGCGTTGTTTTCCGGCGTACTTTTCCAGGCCCGAGAGGTGTAGTTGCAGTCCGGGTCCATTCGCGTCTTGGCCACCGATGGACGGGTCATTGCAACGAGTTCGAATCTGGCCTGCCGGAACCTTCGAGCGGAACATTTTTGTGGTTGTGAAATATTTTTATGCTCAAACGATTCTTCACAATGAAGATGGATGAGTTGCCATTCGCTGTCACCTTCAGCCAACAAAGTCGTTTGGTCACACGAAAAAAAAAATCGTAAGCGTACCTGACTTTTTCCTCGATCGCTCCCAAAAGCGGCGCTAACCGGACTGGTTTTATGCAGCACGCGCGCTGGCGGGGCTGCACTGTGACGAGTCGTCCGCCGTATGACTTGAAGAAAAAACCATGTTTATCGCGCTCCTATTTTCATATACTTTTGTTTGAGTTGGCATGATTTCTTGCTACGCATCACAAATTTGCATCACATGATCAACTATACGGCGCATCTCCAGTGGCTGCATTTGAGACACGCCGACTATTCTTGGCACGACCGCGATAAAGATTTTGTTTTCACTTCCGATAACTTGCGAGATTACGTACGGGAGGTTGCCGTCGTTTGTGTGTGTGGTGGTCGTGTTGCTTCCGGGGGTGCCACGACCATGCACGGCAGAGGCCTGCAGCCCTGGTCCCCGATGCCTCAACAACCCACGGCCTGCTAGTCGTACGGGGGGCGGGTCCATCTTCACCCACGAACGTTTTCTTTTTCTTTTTTTGAGTTGATTCGTCTATTACGTGGTAATTACAGTACGGAGATCATCATAGATGAATTATGAATGGTAAGAGTGCGCATCTGTTAGTAAGAGGTGGAGCTAGCACGCGCATCAGTGACGAGCTGCCGTGTGACAGCATTCGAGCAAGCAACACAAAGTTCCGATGTTCTGCTAGAGCATAAAGCGTTTCTCTCGTCCAGTATGAGGCACTACACCTGGAAGTGCGTATCTTCTCTCAGTGCTACCCTCGTTGCCTGACGCTCTGCTCTCGTGCGTCAATCGACAAAAACGCATTTACGTATAAACCCGTACTCGATGGATAATGTATCGGGAACAAAGTAAAAATGGCGCAAATAAACAGTCTGCGCAGCCGCGTTGCGAAGGGGTAGCGACTTTTTTTAGACTTAATGCGAGCTCGTCTACGAGGTAAGTTACCCAGACGGAGTAGTAGTTCTGCGTGTTGCATGTGGTACACATTATCCTGGGTCGTTCTTCATAGTCCGCCCCGGGAGAGAAAGAAATCTTCTGGGGAAGTTACTTGCTCTGACTGGTTCCCGCTATCTTTCGTCTGGTACGCATTTTCTTCAAGGTTTCTGCGTATTCCGCTCCTGGTAAATGTTGCGGCTGCCGGGGAAATTACTTGCAGCTACTGCTTCTGCGTGTTGCAAGTGGTGCACATTATCCCGAGCTTTTTCTCGTAGTCTGCTCCGGAGAAGATCAAAACGCTCCGGGGAAGTTGCTTGATCTCGCTGCCCGCCAGTATCTGCTGCTGGTACGCATTTTCTTCAAGGTTTTTGCGTAGTCCGCGCCTGGTAAATGTTGCAGCTTCCGGGGAAATTACTCGTAGCTACTGCTTCGGCATGTTGCAAGTGGTGCGCATTATCCTGGAATTTTTTCCGCAGTCCGCCCCGGGAGAGAAAGAAATCTTCTGGGGAAGTTACTTGCTCTGACTGCTTCCCGCTATCTTCTTCTGGTACGCATTTTCTTCAAGGTTTTTGCGTATTCCGCTCCTGGTGAAAGTTGCAGCTGCCGGGGAAATTACTCGTAGCTACTGCTTCTGCATGTTGCAAGCGGTACGCATTATCCTGGTTCTTTCTTCGTAGTCCGCCCCGGGAGAAAAAGAAATCTTCTGGGCTAGTTACTTGCTCTGACTGCTTCCCGCTATCTTCTTCCGGTACGCATTTTCTGCCAGGTTTTTGCGTACTCCGCTCCTGGTAAAAGTTGCAGCTGCCGGGGAAATTACTCGGCGCTGCTGCTTCTGCATGTTGCAAGCGGTACGCATTATCCTGGCTCTTTCTTCGTAGTCCGCCCCGGGAGAAGAAGAAATCTTCTGGGCTAATTACTTGCTCTGACTGCTTCCCGCTATCTTCTTCCGGTACGCATTTTCTGCCAGGTTTTTGCGTACTCCGCTCCTGGTAAAAGTTGCAGCTGCCGGGGAAATTCCTCGGCGCTGCTGCTTCTGCATGTTGCAAGCGGTACGCATTATCCTGGCTCTTTCTTCGTAGTCCGCCCCGGGAGAAGAAGAAATCTTCTGGGCTAATTACTTGCTCTGACTGCTTCCCGCTATCTTCTTCTGGTACGCATTTTCTTCAAGGTTTTTGCGTATTCCGCTCCTGGAAAAAGTTGCAGCTGCCGGGGAAATTGCTCGTAGCTACTGCTTCTGCATGTTGCAAGCGGTACGCATTATCTTGGATCTTTTTTCGCAGTCCGCCACGGGAGAGAGTAAAATCTTCTGGGGAAGTTACTTGCTCTCGCTACTTACCGGCATCTTCTGCTGGTACGCATTTTCTTCAAAGCTTTTGCGTAGTCCGCTCCTGGTAGATGTTACAGCTTCCGGGGAAATTGCTCGCAGCTACTGCTTCTGCATGTTGCAAGCGGCACGCATTGTCCTGAGTTTTTTTTCGCAGTTCGCCCCGGGAGAGAACAAAACCTTCTGGGAAAATTACTTGCTCTCACTGAGTGTTCATATCAGACACGAGTGTTCACATCAGACACGAATGCTTTGGAATCACGACCGAAATCTGTTGAAGCCAAAATCTGTCTTGCGCAGGAATGCGGGCTTTGATCTTTGGATCCATCTGTCCCCTTGAAGTCATTTTTGCCAGGAGCTCAATCCGCAAAGAGGTACGATTTAAATAGTGAGCGGCTTCCCCCCCTGCAATCATCTGTCCCTTTGACATCTTTTTTTGCAGGGGCGGAAGCTGCGAACAAGCACAATTTAAATACACTGCGGGCTTTGGTCTTTGGCTCCATCTGTCCCCTTGAAGTCACTTTTGCCTGGAGCTGAATCTGTAAAAAAAGCAGGATTTAAATACCCAGTAGCTTTCCCCCCCCATGCAGTCATCTGTCCCCTTGACGTCATTTTTTGCAGGGGCGGAATCTGCAAAAAAACACAATCTAAATACTCTGCGTGCATTGATCTTTGGCCCCATCTGTCCCCTTGAAGTCACTTTTGCCTGGAGCGGAATACGCGAAAAACCTCATTTTAAATATTTCGCAGTCTTGGCTTTTCCGTGCCATCTGTCCCCAAGATGTCACTTTTACCAGGAGCGAGATACGCAAAAAGCCTCATTGTAAATATTCTGCAGTCTTGGCTTTTCCGTGCCATCTGTCCCCAAGATGTCATTTTTACCAGGAGCGGAATACGCAAAAAGCCTCATTGTAAATATTCTGCAGTCTTGGCTTTTCCGTGCCATCTGTCCCCAAGATGTCATTTTTACTAGGAGCGTTATACGCAAAAAGCCTCATTGTAAATATTTTGCAGTCTTGGCTTTTCCGTGCCATCTGTCCCCAAAATGTCATTTTTACCAGGAGCGGAATACGCAAAAAACCTCATTTTAAATATTTTGCAGTCTTGGCTTTTCCGTGCCATCTGTCCCCAAGATGTCACTTTTACCAGGAGCGATATACGCAAAAAGCCTCACTCTAAATATTTTGCAGATTTGGCTCTTCCGTGCCATCTGTCCCCAAGATGTCACTTTTACCAGGGGCGGAATACGCGAAAAGCCTCATATTAAATATTTTGCAGTCTTGGCTTTTCCGTGCCATCTGTCCCCAAGATGTCACTTTTACCTGGAGCGAAATACGCAAAAAGCCTCATTTTAAATATTTTGCAGTCTTGGCTTTTCCGTGCCATCTGTCCCCAAGATGTCACTTTTACCAGGGGCGGAATACGCAAAAAAACTCATTTTAAATATTTTGCAGTCTTAGCTGAAAAGCCGAAAGATTTTTGCAATACCTTTCGCGCATAGTATCTGTCTCTCGCGGTAAAAAATCAATGCCAATTTTCGTGTAGCATTACAAACTCAAACTTTTCCAGACCCACCAGGGATCGTTACAATGCGCAGTGGCTTGATTTGATCATTCAGTCTGCCTCACATCTAAGCGTAAGCATCTACAAATGCATGAACAGCTCCGGTCGAAAGAGTCATGAGAGCGCTACTGCCGGAAAACTCCTGAGAATGAAGAACAGAGACGCTGTAATTCCTCCGGCTCTTCCACTGAAGTCGAGACCCACGAAATTGAAGAGGTTTACGACGCGGACGGGAACCTGGTCTCCCGGAAATCCCGAACGAAAAACAGTCTGGATGTATCCTGAGCAGAAACGCCCTCTCTCATAGTCAAGATGGGGAATCTGCTAGACAAATCAGCCAGCTTTGGGCGTTGCGCATGACACGTTTGGCCTCGTAGTGTAATCCTGTTGAGCTACTTCAGTAGCGTCACAGATGCAGCCTATTATTGGAGCATCACAAATTCCAAAACGCGACCAGAAATTGCTTGTCATGGGACTATGCATGAGAAACATTTTCAGCATGCAGATTTGCATGACAGCCATGGGGAGGTGAGGACGTTTTTAAATAGGATAGGATGACCGGAAGGGCAGAGTGAAATACGGCATTTACAAGGAGCTCACTTCCAAGCTGGTGATGTCTCCCTGGGTATAGCCCGCTCAGGTGTTACAATCTCAAACGTTACAATAGAATATGGAAATCTGTGATGCAAGAGTGCATGATCTAGCCAATTCTCATAGGATTGCGCATGACAGGTCCCGGAGCACCAAACCCCACTACAATCTGGACAGCAGCATCACAAAGACGCCTGCTCATCCTGTTTACAGCATTACAAAGCTTCCCGGAACACGGCTACAAATTGCTCTCCTGCGGATGTGCATTACAGATTTTTCTGTAGATGCAAATCTGCATGACAGCTATGGGGTGGGGATGTTTTCAAATAGGATAGAAGACTCGAGCGACGAGACGGAGAAAAACGAGGAGAGCGGAGTTGGCGCTTCTGGAGAATACGACGAAGAGTACGACGCAAATGAAGATAATGTATCAAATGCAAAAATTTCTGGGTCTGGGAGACTCCGAGATTTGTCATGCAGTTTTTCCAAGCTCCCCCACGTCTGGAATGCAGGGCCTAGCGTCACAGGTTCTGCAACTCCTTGGTGATGCGTATTCTGCATGAGAAATGCCCTCTAAGCATGGCCAGAAGTGGGCACCTTTTGCACGTTTATGCATCACAGATCTTTGTAGGATCCGCAACACGCATCACAAGTTCGGATCCTTCCAGACCCAGACATTTTTGCATTTGATATAACGGGGAGGAATACAACGATGAGGAGGGATACGGTGCCTCGGACGCGGGCTACAGTGCCGGGGGATACGGACAATCCGATGGGCAGATGTCGGAGTACGTATCCCACGAAAAAACTGTTTCACTGTGACGATTTTGCAAGATCTGCACCACAAGTTTGTTACACATGACAAAGACAACTTGGCATGCGTGCTTCCTAAGGGAATGAAGAAAAAGCGGAAAACTCCTGAGAATGAAGAACAGAGACGCTCGCGTTCCTCTTGATACGTGTTTCAGGACGTCGGGCTCGTCAGTGCCAATACGTCCTGCTTCTAGACGTCGGCAGAGTTTTTTTTTCGTTTTCCTTTTTTTTTTGTGTGAGAAAAAAACTCCAGTCGTGTCCCAAGGAACTACTTGATATATAATCCGGAGGCGTCGCATGCTTCAGTCGTCCGTGCAACGTATTTACAGCACCAAGAAGCAAAAGCAAGAACAAGTAGCGGCTGTATATAATTTTCCTCGTACAAAGGGAAAGGCTAAGTGAAAATAAAGGCACATGGCATTAAACGTCGTAAGGGTCGTGAGGAAGCGAAAAATGCGATTATAAGAACCGTTCCACTATAATCGGTTTCGATACGGTTTGTTTCTGTCGCTTTGTGTCGCTGCGGCTATCCAAGTTTAGGATTAGGTCTACTAGTGTACCACGAGAAATAAAACTTGAGTACTCGCATGGTTCGTACTTTCATCCCGCGAACTCTTTTTCTCACCTCTTCCGCCCACTCGCCGCGCTCCTTCCCCCGCCGCCACCTTTCCGGACCGTTGCCTTTGCGTTCCTGGTATCCTGTGCAAAAGTATCGCACTCGTAGTAATTATCGCATTTATGCATCACAAATCTACTTGCTATAGCAAATCCGCATTACAAATCAAATTTGTAATGCTGAGGCAATTTGTATTGCGATTTATACAACAAGCACGATGCTTTTGCAGTTCATACCTGGCCGCCTGTGTCTTCGCTTTCGCTTTGGCCGCGGCCGCCGCAGCTTTCGCCCGGGCTCTCCATCGCATAAGAAAAAGGTGTTTACAGATACACATCGTGTTGCAGGCGAAGCAAGACAGACAAGTTCTGTCATGCGGGAAATGCTTGCCAACCTCATTTCATTCGTGATTTCCCTTATTATAGTCTGCGCAACACAGGTTTTCTTTGCCATGTCGAGCAACTTTGCGATGCAGAAACTCCAACACATGTGAAACTGTAAAACACTTTTTTCCTGTGATACTTTCTGCTGCTGTGCCAGTAGCTTTGCCTGCTTCTCTCGGGCCTCCCTTTCCAAGCGGATCGCCCGGGCCTTGTTCTTTTCCCGTTTCCTCCGCTGCAGTTCCTTCTGGTACGGCCTCTTCAAGCGGACGTAATCGACCGTGCCGCGCTTAGACAGCGTCGTTGGGAGAAGGAGCATGTTTTCGAGATGTAGATCGAACTCGGGATCTTCCGGTTCCTCTTCCACTAGCAATTGCTGTTGTGCTGCCTGCCGCTGTCTCATCACCTCCTTGGCAACAACATCTTGCGCTCCTGCTTTTCCAGTAGTTCCCAGCCCGAGAAGACCTCGCGACGTGCTGCTCTGCTGGTTCAGAATTCCAGGTTTATTCTGTCGTTGCAGATCGATTTTATGAACTGCCGAAGATGAGGATGAGGATGAAGAAGACTGGTTGACTGCAGGTCTTTGGTGAAGACCGCTACTACTTGGTGGGAGTTTATTCATATTGGAACTCGGCAAGGAACTACTTGCACTGGAGTCGTAGTTCTGCAGCCCCATAGTAGCGCTCTTTCCGCTTCTGCCGTGTAGTTCCACCCTCTTCGCAACCGTGCCAGGCGCAGCTGCCCTCTTCATGATCCCAGTGCCGTGTAGTTGAAGTTGTTTTCCTGCCGCACCGGTTCTGGCGACTTTCCCTTGTCGCGCGGGCCCACTTCCAGGCGGCAGCATCGTCTTTCTCAGGTGCTTCTGCTGCTCCACAAGTCTAGCTTGCTGTTCTCGAAGTTGTCTTGCCTGCTCCTCCTGTTCCTTCTCCGCCGCGTCTTTCGCTTCCTTTTCAGCCTTCTCCCGATAAAACTTGTTCCGGTTGAAAATCTCGTGTAATAACTGGCTATCCAATGCAAAAATGTGTGGGTCTGGAAGGTGGTAAGTAACTTGTGATGCTGTCTTTCGATTCCAAAAAAATCTGTATTGCATGACTAGCAAAAGGACTCCAGTTTGTGCTACACGGGGAGGGCTTTTCTCATGCGGAATAAGCATCAGGAAGCCTTCTAAAAATCTGGGATGCTAGGGCATGCATTACATGCGTCACTGGTCATGCAAAATATGCATGACAAACCTGGCAATCTTCCAGACCCAGACATTTTTGCATCTGATACTGGTTCTTCTTGGGCAATAGGTTCCCCAGCCGGTCCTTCGCTTCCTTTTCCAAAAGGGGCTGCACGGTGAACATCGTCATCAGCTCCGGCTTCATGTGCACTCGCACGAGTGCTTGATTCAGGGATTCTTGCTGCGGCTCGCCCAGCGCCGGCAGTGGGCCCGGAAGCTGGTGGGCCGGCATGCTCAAAGCTTCATCCAGGGTCGCGGTTCTTTTACCCCCGAGAGGGAATTTCTTGCCCGGTGGGTCCTCCGTTGCCACCGACTTCAGCCGGTTGTTTTCGATCTTCAGCTGCGTCACCGCGTCTTTCGGCTTGGAGACAATTTTCACGTTCGGGGGCAACGACCGCGGGTTCACGCTGGTCACCGGGAAATTTTCTTCGACCCACTGCGTTTGTCTCGTCACCGCCTCGCGGATGTCGCGCTCATTTGTCTCCGCTTCACCGTTATGCAGTGCAAATATGTCTGGGTCCTCTGGAAGGTTGTAATGCGTATCTTGCATTCCTGGAAAATCTGTGTTGCATGAGCAGCAAATAAGCAGCGTTCCTTATTATGCAATAAGGCAATTTGTATCGCGTGTCACGCAGAGGAAAGCGTTCCGAAAGGTTGTCATGCTTGGCTGCCGTTGCAAGCGTTGCAGTCATGCGCAATTCAGCATCACAGGTTTCCAGACATGCAGGGATATTTGCAATGCATAACCGTGCTGCTTTTCGAGATAGTCGTGCAGTGTCTTCTCGTAGACGAACTGCAGTTCGCCACTGAACTATGCAAGAAAAAAACTGTCACTGTGTAAGTGTAAGTCTGTGATGCAGGAAATGCTAAACTGTTACACTTGTCATGCTAGAGGTGCGTCATAGGCCACTTTCATAGGTGTTTCCACGTACTCGCTGCGCATGACAGGTTTTACCTGTAATGCAAAGCGAATTTGTGATGCTGATCTTCCTACAAAGTTACACTTACACAGTTTTTTTCCTGGATATGAACCCGGACGCGAGGGAGATCAGGTCTCTCGCCAACTGATGCATTGCAAAAGTGCATCGCACTAGTAGAAATCGCATGACAAATTCACTCAGCATCAGAAATGGAGTTTGTCATGCTGTTTTACCTTGGGATGAAGATTTGTAATGCATGACTGCGATTTTTACTTGGACTACGATACTTTTGCACAGGATACAAGTGGGGCCGCTCGGTCTTGTCGGCGCGAACGAACTTGATTTGCATCTCCAAGACGGAGAAAAACGTGTTGTAACTGCCAGAGATCTATGCATTGCAAAAATGTCTGGGTCTGGAAGGACGCAACTTGCAAAGCTCACTCTGGATCGTGCAAAAATCTGTGTTGCACAAATGCCAAAAGTTGTCCACTTTTGACCAAGTTAGTAGTAGTAGTAGCACCATTTAACTCCTGACGGGTCGGCGTTGGAACAGATTTAGCCTCTGCCAATACCTGGGCGCCAGAACAGGTTTAGCCTCTGCCGATGCCCCTAGGTGGATACGCGATCCACTTCCTAGCTACCACCCGGCTGCACCCGCAAAACCGCTATCGATTGCTTACGCGTAGCTACAATGAGCGGGCGCCATGTATGGCTGACCTGCCTTACCATCCAAGCCCGCGAGCAAGGTGGAGTCCCAGCATTGCCCTGATGGGTTAGTCATACAAGCTTGCCCAAGGTCTTACTTTTGTGGCCGGTTGCGCGCTAAAAAATATACTGGGGGTCTAATGATCACGCACGATGATGCTATCGTGATGGCAGACGACCCCACGGCGTCTCCCTTTCAGACACTTTTTGCCGACCTGTTTCCCGCGCCCTTTTCTATGCGTTTCCGGAGAATCGGCCCGCGGAGCTCCGCATTTGCAGAGCCGCCACCGCGCCCGCCCCGGGGGACCCCTTGGGGAAGGGGGGCGCTGCTTTAGCGCGGTCGTTAAACTAGCAACCTCGCCGCCACTTCTTTAATCCATTCCCTTCTCTTCTTTTTCTTTTTGTACAGTTAGCAGCGCCTTGCTACATGGAGTCAGCTGGCGGGGACGGGATGAAAAGCAGCGCCGTGCCTCGGGGGCTGGCGAGAACGATACGACTAGCATCGCCGCACCCCGTAGCAGGGCTGGCGGGGACGTGTCGAGGCGAGGTTCGCGCGCTGCCATCTTGGGGAGGGCATTTGTCACGCGGAGTAGGCATCAGGAAGCCGTCCAAAAATCTGTGATGCTAGGTCGTGCATTGCAGACATCCTGGGCCAACAAGCCCCGCCGTCGTGGTACTTGCGCCAGGCCTGCCGCCGCGTCGGCTTTCCCAGTCCGACACGCTTCCAGCTGGTTCCCGCGGACGACAACACCGCACCCGCGCCCTGCTTCCAGTAGCCCCGCACGAACTTCGTAACGCCCTCGGACTTTCTTCGCGGCCGCGGCCGCCCGGCGCAGCGCCGGCGCAAGGCGGCCCGCCAGTCGCTCGGCGAAAAAGTAGGCGCCGCGCCGCAATGGACTTCCGCCGCCCGACTCCAGCAAGCCGCTATCACCGTGATCGGCCACGATCGCCCTGAACGTCGGCCACCCGCGAAGACCCTCGGCCACGCTTCCCGAAGCTGCCCCGCCATGCTGCTGCTGGTCCTCCGGGTGTCCGGTAAGAAGCGCGGGGCCTTCTGCGAATGTCAAGGAGCCCGCGACCGCCACATCCAGCACACACCTGCGACGCAGCTCGCTGCCCGCGTCACCCGCACCGCGCAAATCGTCGAGCCACTTGACTGCCGTCGTCCGCACCAGCATGAGAGGCTTTGCCGCGTCCGTTTTCCGGGAGACCGGGCAGCGCCCGAACAAGTGGAGGCCGACGAAACCGGACACATAGAGCAACGCCGTTTGTCCCCAACGTTTTCCGAACTTCCCAGGCGCTGGCTTCCACACCTCTCCAGCAAGGTCGTGCCGCCGGGTGCTTTCCGGGTTCACCAGGTCGCGCGACGTGGCGCGAGCCCACCGCGTATCCTCCTCGAAGTTCTCGTGGTCCTCCGCGCCGGTTCTTTTCCCGCTCCCGACGGTGGCAAACTGCACGCCGTCGAGAAGTCCCGCCGTCTTCTTCTCCGGGGCCGCTTCTGACTGCGGAGGTTGCGTCTGCTGCCGGAGTAGCTGGGCATCGCGAGGGCTGACAGGGTCCCCGACCTGCCACAGGGCCAAAGAGACGAAGTGCGCAACGGTCTCGCTGTTAGGGTTGACATCGCCCCGGCCGATCATCCCACACAACGGCGCCAGCTCGCTGGTGCTTCGAACCGGCGCGAAGCCTGCCGAGCTGCTCCAGCGCCCTCTCCTGCGTGCCACTACTGGGGGCAACTCGCGCAGCGCAAACCTGGTTCTCATTGTGGTCGGCACCTGCGAACTCCTGCAAGCTCTTGAAACTCTTCTCGCTGGTCACGTACTGCAGCAGCGACGCAACTGGACCCAGGCCCCAGCTGGCGCGGGGCTTCCACTTTCGTCGGTCGGCGCGCGCGCGTCCCGCGCCCATCTTCCTCGCGAATGTTTCGCCCGCCGCGGCCCCCCGAATCTTCGGAGGCAGGTAGAGGAACCCGAGGCCCATGCGGCTCCCCCGTATGATCTGGCCGGCCTTCAGCTTCTTCCACTGCACTGCTTTGGCCTCTGCAGCCTTCCCGCTGAGCGTCCCGAGCCGGCAAAACAGCGGGGCCCGGCCGGTCGTAGCGTCGCACTTGTGGCCCCCGTGGTATCTTCAAGAGCCTGGCGGAGGGGCTTGAAGTCGTCCCCTGCCTGCGTCCTGCCGAGGGTGTGCGCTGCAGCATTTGCGGCCAGACAGTTCCTCCGGGATCGGCTGCCCGGCGGACTGTAGCAGACTGTAGGCGAAGATTGCGAACGCCTCCCGTTGGTTGCTGCGCCAAAGCGGCGCCCTTTGTCAACCCAAATACTACGACTCGCTGACTGCCGGGATTCTCGGGGGGGGTCTTGAATGGTGCACGGAGTGAAGGCAAACGCATCTCATTAAGGGCCTCGGCGGTAGTGGAGCCGCTGACCGCCTTCGCGGATGAGCTGCTAGCGCCTGCAGCCGCTCCGGGGGCCCCCGCGCTTTTTCCTGCTTGCATGGCTTTGCCTATCGCCTTGCCGGATGCGTCGACTTCCTTCCAGGCTTCGCCCGTCTTCTTCTACGAGTCCTTGCGTGCCTTCTGCGGGCAGCTTCTTGCGCCAGGCCCCCGCTTTTGGGTCGGACTTGGCCAGGGCGAGCACTGCAGCCCCCTCGGACTCCGGACCGCCGCCATCGCTTGCTGCCCACGCGTCGCTGGTCAGGATATGCCTCGAGGGAATGCAGGCGCTTCTTCTGGTCCGAGAGCGGGAGGCATAGGCCCCCGAGAAAGGCCGCAGCATCGAACTCCAGATGGAACGCTCGCAGAGTCGGGCGAAGTTCGCCCGCGCACCGGTCCAAAATCGGGCAGCAGCTGAGGCCGCAGAGAATGGCTGCGCTTGGCCCGAGTGGCTCGCTCTTCTGTGTGGAGTCACCCGCGCCGCCGGCTGGATCGCCACCGCCTGCGTGCGCCGCACAGGCCTCGGCCCAACTGTGTAGAGCGCTGCAGCAGCTCAGTCAGTGGCCCACGAAGCAGCCGCCGCCCGTCCTCGTCCACGGCTGTGAAACCATCGGGCGCCTTAGCAATTGCCCGCCCGGAGTCGAGATAGGCCCACTGGGCTGCGATGTTTTCCTGCACATGACATCCAGCAGCGTTTCGGCAAAACCTTCGCGCCCTCGCTGCATCCGGGTGCGGATCCCGAGAAGTTAGGCGACAAATGCCCAGGAGGTTGTGGAGGTTCGTCACGACGCGCACGTCGTCGCCATCTACTTTCGAGGACTTGGATGGTTTCGCTTCCCGCCTGCCTTCGCCGGCGGCGCGGAAGGATCAGCAGGCAACAAGCACCGCCGCGCAGAGTCGGGCTGCGGTTCCGGAGCAGTGCGCACATCTGAAGACGCGATCTCCGACCGATGGCTTTGCAATGGCTTCCAGCTGCATTTTCCACGATTCAATGCTGGAGATCGAAAGCGGCCACTTCTCATCCACATCGATCCTCTCGCGTTCGGGACACGGCGCAATCCGGCTGTCGGAGGTCCGGGGAGCTCTCGACCGTTCTGGCCAAGTCGGTGGCCGCGTCGACGCCCTCGTTTGTCGCTACGCGCTCTGGGTCAAGCGACGCGCTGGCGCCTGCGTGTCTTTTCTGTAATTTCAACAGTCGCCGCGCCAGCTTTCGACTACCCTCAATAAACGCTGATAGCCTGGCCACCTTCGCCAAGTTGGGAGGAGGCTTCTCATGCAGGATAGGCATGCTAGGGGTCTCACAGAATCTTTCATGCAAGGTCCTGCATATCAGACGGCACGGATCATGGAAAATCTGCATGGCAAATCTCGCAATTTCCCAGACTCAGACATTTTTGCATTTGATAAGATCGAGGAGGTCGAGAGGCTGTCGATCTTGTTTTCGTTCAGAATTTTCGACCACATCGTCAAAAGCTTGCAGTTATCCACGAGCAAAATCTCCAGCAGTTCTATCAAAATTAAAAATCGCCCCGCGGCCCCATAACAAAATGGAAATCTCTGATGCGGGATTTGTGTACACAAATCAGCACTGTCTTGCAGTGAGGCACTGCAGGCAAAGCCTAAGTCTGCGTAGGGGTGTTGTTATTTGGTGTAGGTGCTTAGCATAGCAAAAGGAAAGGCCTGCCATGTAAGCGCAACAGCATTACAAATCGCCTGCATAACCCGGCGGATCCTTTGGGTTTGCCCTTTTGCACGAGAGACAGGATTTGTGGTCACAAATCAGCATGACAAACTTTTAGAAGAAGACCTTTTCAACAGTGTGGGGAGGTGGGGGGATTTTTCCTCGCAATAAGTTCCACCGCGACCGGGTAGTCGAGAAAGATTTTGTAATATCGCAAGAAAAAAGTGTTACAGTTACACACATAGTCTATGCAAGCCCAGCATGACAGACAACCTCGGTCATGCCGGATAAGCATAGGAGCCTTGTTTCATACGTGTTTTCCCGTAGGGTTTCTGCGGTGCAAATTTTCTCTCTCATGCAGGGAAATCTGTGTTGCTGCATTGACAACAGATGTGTAACTGTAAACACTTTTTTCGTGGGATATGTAAGTCGGGTTTCGGAAGTACAGGAGATACCGCAGAAACCAGCGGAAATCCGGATCGTCGACGTGTTTTTTTACCACGTGCTGCAGATACCGGGTATGCATTGCAAATATGTGTGGGTCTGGAAGGATGCGAGGCTTTTCATGCACATTTTGCATGACCCATGATGTCTGTGATGCATGCCCCAGCATCACAGATTTTATTTTACGGGCGTCTTCATGCCTATTCCGCATGAGAAAGAACGTCGTCTCCACGTAGCCAAAACTGGGCTCCTCTTCTTGCAGCTCATGCAATACAGATTTTTTTAGAGTCCAGAGGTGGCATTACAAGTTGCACTCTTCCAGACCCAGACCACATATTTGCATTCGATACCGGGGGTTCAGCAGCGATTGCAGGAACTGGCTCTCCCACGTGAACCGCTGCACATTGCTGTACGGAAGTTTAGCAGCCTGGAGCGCTTTTTCGGCGCGGGTGGCTTGATACTGTTCCTTTTTCTCTTTCTCCCGTTCGTCGTGCCGTTTTCTTTTGAAGGAAGGCGGCGAAGCACAAAAACTGCTCGCCTCGAGGGTCGTGTCCTGTTGCGCCGGCGTCGTGGTGTCTACAACTTCCTGGGCGGAAGTCTTTACATCTCTTTCAACGTCATCTTCTTTCTTGCAATACAGCTGTCTCACATTTTTGTCGTAGATCCCGGCCACCTCCTCGAGCATGCAGTCCTGGATGCGCTTCGCCCCTTTCGCCAAGGTCTCCAGCTGCTTCTCCTGCTTTTCCAAAACGTACGCGAACCGCAGATATCAAATGCAAACATGTCTGGGGCTGGATAGCGAATTTGTGTTGCTGAGTCTTGCGTGACAAACTGCGAGCTCTGGCGCGTTTTGCATGACAAACTACCTTGTTTCAGCACGACAAAATAGCTAGCCAATCCTCCTCATGCATCACAGATCTTTTTGTCCTGCAAATTTCGCATCACAAATCCAGACTAAGACATATTTGCAATGCATAGCAGAAACCGGTTGCGGAAATACCGGTTATCTTCCAGCCGGATATCCAAGGAAGAAAGTGTACATAGTGGAAAAAGTCTGTCATGCAGACGAGGATGCAAACACAGAGTTGCGCTTGTCATGCTGGCGAGCTAACATGAAGTCCTCTTTTCAAGAACATAAGTATGTGTTTAGTTTTCACATGCTGCCTGCGCATGACAACAGGCTTTCTCTGTCAAGCAGTACAAATCTTTCATGCTGTCACTCCACGACACCTATAGTAACGCAGCTTTTCACTTGGATACCGGACGTCCACAAAATAGTTTTCCAGCGAGTACTCAAAGTCGTCCATAATTTCCGCCACCTGCCCCGCGTCCTGCTTGCACTTTTCCGCAACCACCGCTGCGGGCGAAGCCGGGTGCAGTTTGGTCAGCGTCCACTTCCCGCTCAGCCGTTTCGCGTTCTCGAGGACCAGGCTGTTGATGCGGTTCAGCTGGTCCACCATGTTGCTGATCACCGACTGCCCCGGCGCAGTGCCGATCGGCAGGCCGGGTCCCGGCCGTTTGAATGGCTGGTCGAAGTAAGTCGGCTGTGCGAACTCGCGTTGGTGATACGGTCCTCGGGGCTTGATGGCGGTGCTGCTGCTGCTACTGCTGCTTGTCTTTGGCAGAGGAACAACGGCAGGTGCTGCGCCAGTTGTACCAGTGGTCCCCACACCTTCCTTCACTGCTGCTGCTGCCGCCGCGCGGGATTTCTCCCCCGCAGCTATCATCGCCCGCAGATCCGGGGAACCGAGGTCCTCCGTCAGCACCGTCATCTTTTTTCTTTTTCCGTGAATCACGGGCGTTGCGTCCCCGTCTTCATTTTCCTCCGGCCAGTGCTCGGTTGGTGGCGTGAGGAAAAGTAGTCTTGTCACGAGGGACCGCAGCTTGCCCTCGTCATCCAGATCCGCGAAATACTGAATGTCATCATCCACGTGCGTTTCCATGGGTCAGCCGCGCTCCTCGGGGCTCGGACCTTCTGGCATGGTCATCTCGTGGTACACGGCCCGCGGCCACTCCTGAATGTCACCGCTCAAGCATTTGTCGCAGAAGTCGTCGTCGTACGCACAGCTTTGCATCTCCTCAAACATCTCGTTCTCGGCGACCAGGCCCATTTCTTTCACTGGGTCAGCATTTGCATCATCTACCATGTGCATGAGTGCCTCGCCTTTGTGGTCACCAGACTTCGCACCATCATTGTTCGTCGTAGTGCCACTACGGCAACCACTGCCACCTCCACCCAGTAACGCCCGGATTTGCTTGACCGCGGAACATATGAACTGCAGAAGTATCGTACTCGTAGTAATTGCTTTCATGCATGACAAGTTCATTTCCTAGGGTAAAACAGAACTAGAAATTTCATTTGTAATGCTGAGCTAGTTTGTAATGCAATTTCTACTAGTACGACGCTTTTGCATTTCATAGAACAGTAGTCGTACAGCTTCCTATCTGCCACTTCGTTGTTCACCATGGCCAGCCGTTGCATCTCCCGCATGAGAAGCTCCCGTTGCTCCACCCGTCGGCACCGGCCGTTCAAGAGCAGTTATCAAAAGGAAAAATCCCCCTCCCCATATCGACATGGAAATCTGTGATGCGGGATTCGTGTACACAAATCGGCTCTGTCTTGCAGTAGACAAGTGCAGGCAGATGATACCAAGCCAGAGCAGGGGCGTTTTGGTGTAGGCGCCTAGCAAGGCAGGCATATCCTCCGTAGGCCATATAGCATTACAAATTGCCTGCAGGACGCGCCAAGGTCTGCGGATTTGCCTTCTTGCAATACAGCGACGATTTGTGGTCTCAAATCAGCATCACAAATTTTCAGAAGTATCCCGGTCTGGTATGGGGAGGGGGGATTTTTCCTCACAATAGCAGTAGCATCAGCTTCACGCAGATCTCGTGTCGGTCAAAGATGGCCGCGCCGCATCTGGAAGGGAGGAATGTATGAATGTCGTTGTCGAGAAATGGATTTAGAAGTTGTAGCTATACCGATAGTAGTACGCTTGCAGTCTCGCATGACAAAGCGCGCTCGCCATGAACAAAGTTGTGCATCATGACAAAGCGAATGCGAAATTGATATAAACAAAATTATATAGCAGTACTTGGGTTCCCGGGGGATGCACTTGAACATGTTGGGAAAGATGTCGTCTCTCAACTCCTTATATCAAATGCAAAAATGTCTGGGTCCGGAAGATTGCCAGGTTTGTCATGCATATTTTGTATAACCCATGATGCCTGTAATGCATGGCCTAGCGTCATAGATTTTTAAAGGGCCTTCTGATGCGTATTCCGCATGAGAAACGCCCACTCCGCGTAGCACAAACTGCACTCCTCTTGCTGGTCATGCAATACAGATTTTTTTTTACCTTCCAAAGACAGCATCACAAGTTGCACCCTTCCAGACCCAGACACTTTTGCAGTTGATACCTTAAACAGCTGGCGGATCGTTTTCCGCAGGGGGCAAAAAAGTTGGAAGTCCTGCGTGAACTTATCCCACGAAAAAACTGTAGTTTCGCTGTGGTGATTTTGCACAATCTGCATCACAAGTTTGCTACGCATGACACTGAAAATCTGCCATGCGGGGTTCCTAAGGGAAAACACAGCGAGAAATCCAGTGTCTTGCATGTGTAGCATGACACACACTTCTGCGATCCATTCTCTGCATCACAAAGATCACAGTGGAACAGTTTTTTCTTGCGATAGAACTCGGCCCCGATGTACTCCCCGGTTGCGAGCAGTTGCAAGTTGGTGTGCGTGTGCAAGTTATCACAAGAAAAAGTGCTAACGGTTTTCACAGATTACAGTCACGCATCACAAACGTAGCCCATTATGCATGCTGTGCATGACAAATTCTGGTTCGTTTTGTGATGCGTTGTTGCATCACGAATTCCGTTAATGCTTTTTTTCTGTGATACATGTTATCGAGGTTTTCGTCCTTCAAAGCGATGCTGGGGAGTTGTGGCGGCTCGCAGTACGGGGAGTCGCGTTTCCCGCATTGCCGGTAGTACGCCGGAAGAATGTAGTGACCGGTAGTTGTTGGTGTACTACCGGTCGAGAGGGGTGCGCCGAGCATGGTGATCACGGGGTTTTGGTCTCGTCTCACACTTCTTCCTCGTCGGAAGGATTTGAAATTTCTCGGAACTACGGTAAACAGAAGTTACAAAAGTCCCTTTAGAGGCTAGAGCTACACCATGTGTTGACGAGGTTGTAACGGATGCTACGTAAAGTCTTACTTATCACAAAAACACAGTAATGGGTCAAGTAAAACTAAGAGGTCGCTGAACAAATTTTGATGAAACATACTTAGCACGACAAGTTTCGATACTTTGTTGCTGCAGATCGACGAATGAACTTTATCAGCAGTATCTCGGGCCACCACGACCAGCCAGTAGCAATAATTTGATATTTATGCAGAGGTAAAATCAAAAAAGCCTATGTCGATCTTTGTTTTCGTGTTTTATCAACTTCAAAAACGAGCGCCAAGGAATTGGAATTGCAGGAAGCAGCACCGCTTCTTGTACTGCGACCCCGTTCTCTGCTACTTACTCGCTCATATTGATTTTTCTTGACCAAGCTTCTAAAATTTGCGGGGCTCGAGAACCAACTGTACTGTTTTTTTACACACGATAAATGAAAACCCATTGTTGCACGTGCGAGAAACGAAAATCCAAAATCTTGGACAACAGAAACTGGCACGAAGAAGAATGCATGCATGACACGGCAATAACACTTCTGAAATATTGACTGAAAAAGTGAGGTTGTGGCCCTTCTTCACAAACGACATCGTGCCGGAACCGGCACGACATGTGGTCTGCTGTGGCGAAAGACCTTATACTCGCGCATCCGATACGAAATGCTTTCCACATTTCTAGTTCAATTCTTTCAGCAAATTTCAATGCCGAACTAATCTTACAAATTTTGAATCGTACATTTATTTTGAATCTGAATCATCTTCCACAAATCAAATCTCTACTCATCGGAATTTCGCCTGGTCCTGGTATCTAAACACACTATATTTTGCCTATATCACCCGAGCAGTTAGACTTAGAACTTGTGTCGCTATATAAATATTCAAATACTTTTGATATTCATCTTTCAAAAAAGTTGCGTCCTAAAGGTTAGAAACCTGAAGAAACTGTTGGCGACGCCCCAGGATATCTGGTCGTTAGACACTCCATCCTAAGAGAATTAGACCACCTCCGGCAAATGCAGGACGAAAGTACCCCAACGTAAAGCCTCTTGCTTCGCCCAAGCACGTTGCCAGGGTGCACACGGCTCGTACTACGCTGTCGGGGCTTACTAAGTCTCATAATCGATCTTCGTGGGAACAGAAACTGAATAGCGTTCCGGATTATCGGCCAGGATGCTTGGAAGTGGCCTCGGCTTCCGTCCCGGGAGGTATTTGCCAAACATTCCAGTATTCTTCAGTCGTTTCGCGTGAAGGCTTCTCCAATCCCACTGGAACTGATCGTACGACCAGCGAGAGTTCTTCCCGTTGGAGCCGGCTCGCCACTTTTGAGCGAATTTTCGAAACATTTTTCGGAAAAATGGGTGCCATGTGTCATCTAGAGGATCCGTCCGCACAAACGCGTTTCTGTAGGACATCGGCTCCGGCTTCAGCTCGGGGCTGAGACAGTATCCTGGAAAAAATAACGTGAAGTATAAATAAACTTTGTCCAAGAATTGGAAACAATACAGTCATTCTATAATTCAGCATACTGGAAGAATTGGAGCTCTGCGTCTGGCGAAATGAAGTGAAGCTGATAAAGCACGAGCGCAACTGCATTCATTTCAGAACATGAGCACAATGAATTTCCACTGAACAAGCCATCGCATTTCGAGTGCGAAAAAGCAGTACCAAGCTTGACTGGGAACCGCGGCTGGTCGTAAATCGCATGGTAGTTTTGGAAAAGTAGCTCGGTTGCCGTAGCCAAGCGGCACCTGGCATCGAGAATCCGCCGGCCCCGCCGGTTACGAGCCATGTCCACAGGGGCCGCAAAATCCGCTGGTGCCAGGGAGAATGCATGCGCCTTTGGCGGATTCCACGTCAAAACCCACTTGCGTTTTTCATCTTTTTCCCCTCGTTTCGTGGCGCCATCCTTTTCCTTCCGTCTCTTGCTCGGGGTTCGGGCATTCAAACGTGCGGGCGATACTTCTTCGTGAAAAAAGTCGAGGACTTCGCGAAAAAACGCCCTGTCGCTTTTATGGCAACCCTTTCTGAGTTTATCGGAATCGTAGTCAGAGCGAATGGAGATGGCAAGATCGCCCACGGATTCATACACGCGCGCGGGACTGCACATTCCCCTAGCCATTGTCATCAAAAATCGTACCTGAGGTAGGTTCAGAAAGCAATTTCCTTTGACTTTGACTACGGAAAAATGAAGTCATAGATTCTGAAGACGGCCTTCGCGATCCCCTATAATGGAATACCGTCATACATCACTTCAGCTTCAGCGCAAGCTGGCGCTTCTACAGGATCCACCAATGCGGCGCAAGCGTACAGACGAAAGCGATAACATTATACCACAAAATAATCGTGCTCGTGATCTTCAGGTTGTTCAGGATGCAAGCAAAATTTTGTTGACTACGCTGCGGCAGCTGCGGAAATTCGTTCCAATGCCTTCATATATTTACATAGAGTGGCTGGGGCTACTACAAATAAATCTCAACGTGGCTTCTGCTTTTCCTTCTCGTCAAAGACGAGTAGTAGAAGCAAACTAGCTGTTAAACCAAAATGTAGCCACGCCAGTATCTCTTGTCTTTCCAAACAAATAAACAGCATCTTTCAATACGCTCCAGTCTGTTTCCGCCGGCTCCACTCGTTTTCCGCCCTCTTCTTGCGGTCTCTCGACTTCCGCTTGAAATTTCTCCAAGTAGTCTGCCCCCATGTCTACCATCGTGTTCCAGTAGTCCCGCGGCTTCTTCGTCCCAACTCGCTCGCGTAGAATCTCCAGCCACAGGTCCTCGCAGCTTTCCGTGCGGTTTTCCAGCTTGCTGTCGTGTCTGTATTGCTCCCACGAAGCAGCTTTCACGCTGTTGTTCTCGCTTGCATTAGATATGGACGGCGCAGCACCGCGCTCTTCTTGCTCAACATCGTCCGTGTGCTTTTTACTCGTCTGCAGCACAGCAACCGCTTCTTTCGGGGAGAGAAAGCTCAAAATACCGTCTTTTTCGTTTAAGAGCGAAGTTCTCGTAGAATTTCCTGACAGCAGAAGGCCCCGCTCCCGGAGGGTCGGGTAACCGAGCAAACCTGTGTTGCTCAGATGGTTCGAAGCCTTGTGCCGTTTCTGAGCTATCGTTCGAGAGGCCGCATCATCACCAGATGATGAGTCCCTTGCACCCTCATCCCCGCCCACGGGTTTTTCTGTTCTTGGCATCACTGCATCTGATACGCCTTCTACAGGTGATGTAGATTCGCTGCTCGTCGAAAAATCATGGCTTTTTGATGACGATGAGAGAATTTCGGAGGTGTCTGGCCCGGGTATCACAGTAACGAAACTATTTTCAGCAGCGCGGCCCTGCTTCGGCCCACCAGTGCTGCAGGAGCCAGGGCTGCTCGTAGTCTCAGCTTGGCTGTGTCCGCTTTCTGGGCTGTGTCCTGCATTGCTTTGCTCCGGACCCACTGTTTTTTTTCGCAGTTCAGTTCGCCGTTCCTCCCCGCCGCGTTCCGCAGCGGGTCCCGCAACTGCACCTGCAGCCGTGTCCTGCTTCGGCCTCCTCCGCCGCGAGCAGGTCTTTCGTAGTATGGTGTCTCGCACGGTGACAAAAAAATGCCTGCCCGCAGAATGTGGCTTTGCCGTAGCACCATCAGATGAATGTGGAAGGACTGCGCCTGTCCCGGCCAGTTGTTCAGAAGCCACGGCTGCCGCTCTCGCTGCCGTAATTTCCAACGCAAGTAGACAATTGGAAAACAGCAATACAAGTGGTGGACGAAAACGCATTTTGATCGGTCACGGTGCGAGTACTACTTAAAAATACCCCTTTAGATGATAGAGCTACACCATATGTTGACTAAAACAAGTAGAGAGAAGTTGTAACTGTAGGCACTTGTAAAGTACTACTCATCCGTGGTCTTACATATGGCTACGTTACATTAATGAATGTAACTACTTGATGGGCTCCGCTGCAGAACAATGAAAGAGGGCGTTTGAGATACAACCAGGATAAACACATGTTCGACTCCAAATCACTTATCCATCAAGTTTTGCAATAGAGATCCAAGACTGCCGGGTGGATATCGCTATGTATTAGGAGGAGGAGGAGGAAACCTCTATAGTCAGCTTCTAACTACTAAGCTACTTCTGTCTTGAGCTTAACTATAGGACATAGTTCTGGAGACGACTAGCCGAGCTGGGGATAGGTTTTTATATCGTGGACAAATAGCCCTGCCAGGTGTACAAAGCCTAGGACTTCAGTGCCACGACCCATGAAGATCTCCTTTTCTCCGCTCAAGGCCCGTCCCCGAGTCTGTACTGCAAACGCCCCCATGGTGTCGCTGGCCGCTTGAATGTAGTGGCTCGCTGGATCCGCGGTAGTTGTATCTGCCTGCTGTACGTCTTCACTTGATGTCGTAATTTCCCGGTGGAGAGACGACGCAACATACTAGCTACTACACCGCGATGCGTGTCAAACCACAGCGAGAGAGCTCGGGGCGCAAAGTTTGGATTTGTGGCGCTGGAGCGACAACAGGGTCGAGACCGAAGCCCGTAACCAGAGTGCCCAACGCCACGCCTGCTCGACGAGAAGAAGTGAGCCACTACTGTCGAATGGTTGTGAGGGCGAAGCAACAGAGTTACCTGTCGGCTGAAGCCCGCAGTGGAGGACTCCCTATCCCTCCACCGTCGACATGAAGTACTCCAGAATGATGATATTATGAAAACGCCGCCCGATCCGACGCTGTGCAGAATGCTCCCCCGTCGTCGATCCTCGGTTACCCCTCCCCCGTCGTCGGCGGAGGTCCTTCTGTCGCGCGTGTAGGCGCGTCCACGTCCGACTTCGTTAAGAAGGGCGTTGTTCTCGAGCAAGCTGGCTGTGCTGATGCACAAAGAAAGATAGCCTGGGTGAAATCAAAGAAATAACCAGGGAAACGACAAAAGATCGATAAGGACAAGCCCGCGGGTTCCTCTCCCTGACATGTCCTGCGCCCTCGTCCCTAAGAAAAACGCAGGCCCTTGTCGCGTCGCTCGATCACGGCACGAAGGTCACGACCACGGCGGGCGCGGAGGTGGAGTGTGTTATTTACTACTAGTCGCTATGTTGTAGGCCCGGTTACTAGTCTTCTGTTTTGGTTTTGGTAAAAGGAAAACGCGTAAAGTAAAGTAAATGCCTTCGACACGCGCCTGCGCTGTGATCGCGGGCGGCAGTTTCCGTACCCGTGCCTGCAGTGTGCCGGGGCCATCGGAGGGGATCAATGCACTATGCAATTTCTCAAGCCTGAGAAGTCTCTTTTTCAAAGTTCTACCTGTGCAATCTAAGTGAGTATTTGTATCTATCCGCCCTTCCACTGCCTAGCGCAGTTGGCACCTCCGCTCACACATGACATCATGCCGACTCCTGTTGCGGCGGGCAAGCATGCCTTTTCGGTGCCTGGTGCACGACTCCCCCCTTCCGGTCCCCATCCGCGCCGGCCCTCATGGCACACCGCGGCTAGTCTGCTGTTTGGGATCTATGCCTCTTCTCCACGATATCCCGCGGGGAGGGGCGTATCCCTGCGGGTCCGGAGTTGGCGGGCACGCCTCGCGTATCACCGAGCTTGTGTCTCCAGCCGCTAGCCTTACTGTTGCTTTCTATTTACTACTCTATCCGGAGCCTTCTATCTAACTCCACGACGGGGCTATGCGTTGGCCCGTGCTGCGGCGGCGCTGTCAGTGAGGGGGACGACGTCATTATTTTTGTTCTACTTTTGACCGACTTCGTATGTTCCTAAAGGGGCGAGGCTCACCGGGGTCATTAGGCTCGCTATGGCCAACCTGCAGCATCCAGGGACCCTCACGAGGCCCTCGCCCCCACGGTTTTTGGTTGAATTTCAAGTAGTATCCGTTCTCAACAACGACGAAGAACAACGACGAAGAACAATTCTCGTGATCTCTCTTCTTAGTCATTCGTTACTACTTGCTTGCACAGGAACATGTATTAGTTTTACTTTGGAAGAGGGCTAGAAGTTGCATTTCCATCGTCGTGTTCGTCATTCTTCTTCACCTCAGGAAAATTTGGGTCTCTAAATGTGGGCTGCAGAAAGAAAAGTTGTTTGATGCTTCTGGTCTGATATGAGCGTCGTTTCTCATGTTGGATCGTAACTCGGAAAAGCAGCAAAGCAGGCAAACTTAATACATGCGGCAGAAGATCATAATTGCCACGATTCACGAGAGCAGCTTCCTTGGTTGTGCGACGTAATACAAGAACACCACGAAATGACTGCGGAAATAGAGTGTGAGAAACTACTGCTCTCCTCATTGCTGTCCCTTGGATCATACACTGCGCAAGGCTGGTTGTGATGTCACTACCTTGTCCATTTCACTTGGAAAGATGTTGACTATACACTCGACTCCAGCTTCTACTTCGCCTTTCCAAAAAGAACTGGCCACCGTCGCGCCATTCAGATACTTAAGTATAATTCTTTGCGTAGGTCAAGAAATTCTGCTTCTTGAATACAACGAAAAGAAAGTCGAAAAATCCAGGAATTCCAATTCAAACTAAAGTTGGCGTCATAAGCGATAAACTTTCCTTCATGTTGAGTAAAATCATTTGTACAGTGGTTATCATGTTGGAGTTGGGCCGAATAATGAAGGAAGCACTACTTTCTGTTCCGGTTACCATATGCCTTTGGGCGTTTCTTCTACTACTGGTGAAAAACTTCTCGAGCTTCAAAACTCATACTATACTTTTGCTGTGGTTGAAGAGGATGTTGGCGCCACGCCTCATTGTAGCAGTCGCCGTGCTTTTTCTGATGGTAAAATCCTGCTCTGTGGAAATCTGTTCGCTTCACGTTTCACGTGTAAAGAAGAAAAATGCTTCAGCGGGAAAAAAAAACGTAAACTTTCGTCAAACTTCAACGCCCACATCAAAACTTGTCATCATTTCTTTGTCTCTTCTAAGTCATGCACGCAGCCTCTTATTTCTGTTTGTGAGTGGTGCACACACGCCCGTCTTCACTTCGTAGCAGGTCCAAAGCTAGAATGTGAGGCTACGCAATGATCATCATACAGGTCAAATACATCGATCAGGACTAAGAGACCACTACTTTTTAGACGAGCGCCATTTATCAATTCCATTTACACCATGGATACAGAGGCTCAGCCAAGCCTGTCTCGCCACGGTAAAGAAATTCAAGTCCAATGCCTCTTGCAATAATTGACACCAGCGCCCCGCCCGGCTGCCAGTCGTTGCAAAGGGCGCTATCACTCCTTCGTCCGAAACTAATTCGAAGTTTCGTTGTCGTAGCCACCCTCATTTCTTTCTCCCCCCGCCGGGTTTCAGGACTTTTTTCCAGCTTTTCTTCCCGCGCCGCTGACCTCTCGTGTCGCGCTTAGAAGCGTTTCTTCCGCGCGTGCGTTTATCCGGCTGCGATCGGTCCTTTCCCCGAACTGCTCGTCCCGTCTGCTTGCGCAAAAGCTTCGCCTCCTCTGCTTCGCGTTGTTTCCACTGCTCTCGCTTCTCCGCCTGCGCGGAGTGGTAGCTGCGCTCGAGATGGAGGACATGCTCTGGCTCGGCCGGTGTCGTTCTCTGCTGCGCGGACCACGAGAAAATTTTCTTGGACACCTCGGCTAGCAGCCTCCCGAAGCCGCGCCGCACACCCTCGTCGCGGTTTTCGTCATCGCCACCGTCTCCACCGAGGGCGCGGAGCAGCTGGAGCTCCCCGTCGACGCACCTCTTATTTGGCCGATTGGTCTGCACCGAAAGTTTGGAGAGCCGGCGGCCCAGCTCTTCCAGGTCGTATCCATCGCACTTCCCGACCTCACCTTCCACCGTGGCCCACCGGGAGCCCACGACGCTCCTGTCAGTCCCAGCAGCGTCCTCGGATACTACGCGACGCTGAATGCACTCCTTGGCCCCGTTGCCGGGCTGCGGACAGTACGCGAACTGGTGCTCGTCGCCTTTCGCGGAACAGTACTCAGCCTCCCGCACGTACCGGTCGTTGATGCGCACTTCGCACGGGGACATCCCGTGTTCCCGCACGGCCGTGGTGATGACTCGCGCGGTGCTAGCGTCCTTTACGTGCTGCAGCACCTGTGCGCCAACGATGTCCGTCAGGCGGGACCAAAGCGCGGGCTCACAGGTCGGCGCCGCGATCGTGACGCGCAAGGAGCTGTTGCTGAATTCGCGCGACCACCATTTTTCCTTACCCGTCGCGAACATGTCCCCGGAAACGCTGCAACAAGCGGCCTTATCAATATCTCCCACCGTGCAGTAGCTCGCTCCCGGCTGGCCGTTCGCGAGGCAGTACTGCG